ATGTTAACAATTCAGATCAGTGAGCATTTCCGACAGGGTTTCCCTCCAAGCTGATGACCTAATTATTACATCCGATTGAGTTATTTAAACACTGTGCACATCGAGGTAAAATCCTTCTAGGTATTGTCTGAGCTGTATCAGGTTTTTCTTTTTGCCTTTTTATAGAACAGATCAACAGGAAAGGGGTAGAGAGGAGGGACGACATTGACTAATCAAAGAGCCGTTGGTCAGATTTAATCCTGGGCAGCTATTAAAGACTCAAATTTAGTACATGGCTCTATTGGGGGAGCCACTCTTGTGCCCCAGCTGTATCAGGTTGTCGATTGGTTTTTTTTGTCTGAAATTTTGCAGTTTCAAACATGTTTGATTGCCATTAAAGATGAATAAATTGACATAACTGGAACAAACCAAAGCTCTATTTATTCTCATTGTATGTACTTGCCGAGCCATGGGTTCAGCAAAGCTAGGGAAAAAACGCAAAGATCCCTTACCTTGGTGAAAGTCTTTGTTCGTTTTTTTATTAAAAACACATTTTACTGGAATCGCAATTGACAATGCAGTTTTTTTGTATGGGTGGTATGACCAGGCTGGTGGGTACACCCTACAAATGTTTATCTGTTATAAATATCTGTGGCTCTGTTTAACATTGAGTTAGACATAACCCGGCTAAATTAGTCCTGTAGTGATCACTGATTAATACACTGGATTACATAATCCAATCATGGAACTACAGGTTGGGGGTATTGTTTCCGCACGGACATATATGTTGTTGGTATATACTGTGTCCTCCTTCCTTTCGCTTTCTCTTGTCTTCCCGGGCTTCGACCCGACAACATGTGCATTTCTGCTGCTCAATAAAGCCAGCTTTGTACCTTCATTGCACCGCCTCCGACTCCCTTCTCTCGGCACTACATTGGTGACCCCGACATAAGTCTCGCGAAGTATCCGAGACTGAACCGAACACGGCAAAAAACGCAGTTTTTCTCGAAATGCCGGAGATTTTTGGAGACGTCTGTGGCTGCCACGTGCACATGGACTGAGGCTCGGTGCGCCCCCCACGGAATGGCTGAGGACATCGCTCGCCATTCCCGCATCGTCTCGGCACTGGAAGACAGCAAGCCTTCCGACTACAAGGAGACGATACACGACCTGCTAGGTGCGGAAGAACCCGACTTCTACCTCATGGAACTGTTTCTTCGGGACATGCGGCTGCGTGTCCAGGCTGCGCTAGCTAACACGGCTAGTGTTGAGCCCCGCGCTTTGGCAGAAGAAGCTAGCCGGTTCTTCCTGGCCGCCCGGCGATTTACCCCTGAGGTGCTGGCCACTACACGCAGCGGCACCTTCCCTGGTAGAGGCACGCCGCCTAGCAGAGGCTCCGGGGCCGCCAACGACGCCAACAACGCCAACGACGACAGCGACTAACGGCCGTCGATAACGGCTAGCCACGACAGCTAACGACAGCTAGCCACGACAGCTAACGGCTTGCAGCTACCGACGGCTAACAACGACAGTTAGCAACGGCTAACGACGACAGCTAACGACTGGCTGCTAACGGCTATCGACATCCAACTGTTAGCCCCTTTTTTTGTGGTGCCGGAGAGGAGGTTCGACCAAGTCTGGTCGGCCTCGTGTGGATCCTCTCACACGCTTCTGGACCCTGCCTGGCCTCTCCTCTAACCGCGGCTCACGGTTCGCCTCGACGGCGGCTTCGGACGGCACCCCGTCTGACCCCGTCTGGCCCCGTCTGGCCCCGTCTGGCCTCTCCCCTGTCCACGGCTCCTTCCTCCCGAGGACTTCGTACCCGCCGCCGCTGTGCCTTCGTGTGCGGCCGGGCAGCGCTCCTCCCTGCTGGGGACCACCGGGATATTCACGCCCGTCCCCACGTCGCAGCACAGCGGCCCTGTTTTCTACGGCTGGCGGAGGTTTTCTTAATTCGCCACGACGCCTACCGCGGCCCCCTTACGACGGCCCCCTTACGACGGCCCCCTTACGACGGCCCGTTCCGGCCCGCCCTCCACCCCCGGTGGGGATGCCCTCGCCCTCATTAGGGCTCCTACCCTCTCCTGCGGCCCCCTTCCAACGGCCCGTTCCATGCCCCGGCCCAGCTCACTCCCCCTCCATCTATCACAAAGTGCGCAGGTAAAAGCAACCGGATATAACCGCAAACGTCACCACACAAATCCAATGACACGCCCACCACCTATAGTGACTCAAAAATATGTACCGTAACAAACACAGAAAAATACTTCATATGTGGCTCCTACACCCTGTTTGACATTTGAGCCGTTTGTACAAGCCTGATTAGAAGAAAAACATGAAAAAGAGAAGAATGTGCCTACATTTCCTGTCCAGATCTAAATTAAATCAAATTTGATCTGGTTTCAAATGATTCAAGAAGAACAATTAAGGTATTTTTAAGTTAGCCTTGTTATTAGCATTTATTACTGACTATAGTTATACATTTCACATTACATTAACCTCTCTCAATGTTGAGAATACACATGCACTTTTGTTTGCTTGCCTTCTGTTTTTCCTGTAAATATGCTTTATTTGTTGTATTTTGCTACTTTCTCTTTTTTTTGCAGTTGATTTATGATTTGTATCTTTTTCAACTATTTTAGTTTTTATAGTGATGCCTTCATATTTTGATATTTCATATGTGGCCTATACATATCAGTATGAGCAATAGTTCCTTGTTAAAACAGGTAACAATGTCGCTATTAGTTGTCCAGGGTCCTATAGATTAGATATTATTCGATCGTTATGAAATAATCCACAAATATCTGATAATCAATCAAATGTTTAAGGATTTTTTAAGCAACAATGCCAACACTGTTGTGGGACAAAACATCTGAATAAATCAACTTACCCTTCACAGAAAGAGTTCCATGGTTTCACTTTAGGTTCAAAACTGCAAAAAACAAAACAAAATGTTTGTTAATGTGTAATTGTGATGCTGAATTAATCAACATGAATCAAAACAAGAAAATACATACTATATTCCTACTGTACATTAAAGCTGAATACTAGAATGAGACAAGAAGATCATCAAGACCAGCAAACTAAAAGGGTCAACATGCTAACTTATTCCCCGGTGTTAAGTCTCATTCTTGCACCACTCTATTGACCTTTAGCAACATTTTCGTTATTAAATTCTCCCGAAGGCACTTCTGATAAAACTGCTGAAGAAGCCACATTTGACTCAGATTCATATTCCTTGGAAAACAGTACGATCATTCTACACTTTTTCTCTGGAACTTATGTCCACTTTTGAAATGATGTGCCCCCTAAGCATTAACATGATGAGGTTTTCAGTAACATGTCTGTTTTGGCCATGAGTCGTGACTAAGGTATTTATTGTTAAGAGCCTGTTTCCCTCCCACACAGGAACTTCAGATTTCATGTCTGTTTTTCCGTTCTCATAGTTTTTCTCTCTGTGCTATATCTTATTTCACATTTCATTTGTACGTTTTCTACTGCCCTTTCATTCTATTTCTGTATCTTATAGTCTATCCCTAGATATCTTTAAATGCCTGTCTCATGTCTCACTGTCAGTGCTTCTACATTTCAGACCCATAATATTTTCTTATTCTCTGCCTCCATATATCACACTTTCTTCATCAGTCCATCACCACCTTTCCCACTCTCTCAAAGCGTGGCTCGCCGCTGTCCCTTTTGGCTGGTACATACATTTCTCAAGCAGATTGTGTGTCCATTAATAGTTGTAGCAGATGAGTGCTGCCGAATGTTGAGTATGAGAAGAAAATTAAATCCTTTCATGTAATTGAGATCTTCCTTTTTGTACTTGGTACCAAGAAAACATTTCTGAGACAAAACTGCATCTACAGATGTCTTCAAGCATGTCCTTTAGAAATGCTATCAATTCAAATTGTGTTGGTTTGTGCAACATATTATAAATGTATTAATGTTTAGATAGTAAAAAAAGGCCTTTTGTGGTGGGGGACATGTTCTTGGCTTTGGTAATGTGGTAGAGTTAATATGAAAAGATTATGAAAAGTCCAAATGGAACATTTGAACAGTGACAGTCCCTGTAGTAAGTAAACTCAGTTAGGTTAAGTAAATCATAAGTCAAACATGAATCAGGTGTAAAAAAATAACACTCACAATCTTATGAACATAACATGTATGTCCTGGGTTGTAAAATACTGTGGGTTTTTGCTATTTGTTTTTCCAAAGTGATAGATAATGAGGTTGAGCAGCCAAATATCATGACAAAGGCATAGGGGGGAAAGTCAGGTTTGTTGTTGAAATACTCTTGTCGGCCACAAGAGGCTGAAGTGTACGCCTAACCCAGGTTTTAAATGGGACTTAACCATAGACTGTATAAAGCATAAAGGACTTAACGCACTCGTGGTTTCTTCCAGGGGAGTCTTTATTTATGTGAGCAGTAGCACTCCAAGCAAAATGAACTTTATGTTGTTTGTAAGTAGGTTACAGTATGTAACATTACTGTCATGTCTTTCTTTTGGTTAGAAATGTATTTTAATCAGAGCTAGTCTGCTGTTAGAACTAAAATAAAATATCCTGGCATTACATGTTTTCCCACCTGCTCATAAACAAAGGACAATGTACACCAGACTCAGAAAATGGATTAGTTTTCTCTCTTGCCCTTCAGGGCTCCCGTAAAAATAAATATGTTTCCTCAGAATCAATTATATACTACTGTAGCTTTCATTTTGAACTCGTTTTGATTTGAGTTGAGGTGCAATACAGTATAAAGACAACTGCCATTTAATCTTCAGATACATTTTCCAGAAATATAAAATATATATTTCTATTACTGAGACAAAATAATTGTAACCTATACAAAGAGTCTCTATGTGCCCTGAAAACTCTTTATTTAAAATGTATTATTTGTTACCTGTGGAGAGCAGCATAGGCTAAGATGAGTGTAGCCATTCTCAGATTTCCGTAGAGGAAGAAGCGGAGACGTCACATGGAGAGAAGCAGTAGCTGCTCCACCACTAATCACATAACATTAACATAACTAGCTAGTGCAAGCTAACACAGCCTGCTACACAACTCGCCTTTGATTTACCACACATCCGGAATTGCAAATTTGCACGAACCAAACGGAAGATTCGTAGACGGTGTAAAACGAGAAACACCACTACGGTCACATACAGTTATCGTGGCCTCTTTTTTGCATCTTTGCAGGCTATTTGGTTAGCTAGCAAAGCCACCGATAGCAAACTCTGCCTTGGCTAGCGTCAGGCTAGCCAGCTAGCTAGCTAGCTACTAACATCGGTAACGGTAGTTAGCTAGCTAGCGAGCTGTAGTAACTTGCGTCATGGAGGAACTAGTCGTGGAAGTGAGGGGAACAAGTGGGGCCTTTTATAAGGTAAGTTTGGGACTTTTTGCTTTATCATGTCATTAACACACCATGCATAAACCTGACGCTCGCTAACATGCAGCAGTGTTGCCGGACTAACGTTAGCGGAGAGGTACCTGCTTGTATCCCCGGGCCTCAGTGCTTCTGTCCGGCGGAGGCTGAAACCTGTAAACAAAGCTAACGTGAAGATGCTGCCAGAACATCAATGCTGCTAGTTGAATATGTGTGTTATTGCTGTTGATGATAATGTTGCTAAACCAGTGTAATTGATACATTATTAGTAATGTTGACGTAATCTTGAGTTATATGTCAAGTGATGGGTAGTTGGTTGTTTGCAGAGGCACAGGTGCCAAAATTCGGTCTTGATTTGTGTGTTTAATACTAACAGCGAGCTCAATTAACTCAGGGTAACAGCAAACATGGGGGTTGTTTTGCCTTCCCCCTATGCTCCTCTTTATGGGAAAGTAGTTTTCTGTGTAATAATAATACATTACATTTATAAAGCGGCTGGTAAGAGTTGTGATGTTATTCTGAAGGCAAGAGTCAACAAGTAACGTTTGATCAAGTTGGTAATTGGTTACATTATACCACAGACTATGGAAGAATCTGATAAGAGCTGGTATTTTAGCAAGGCTGTGCTGAGAGTTCCATTCATAGATCCCTGAGCAGATATACAGGGGATGATATGATGAACAGTATCGAATAAAAGTCAGATTTTCTATGAGATCAACATATTGTATTTTATGGGGGGGATTGTCTGCTTTATGAATGGTTGAACTGGGGATGGAGGAGAACATAGGACAGCAAAAAGACATAAGGAAGGAAACTAAAATATGATTGGAAAACCTGAAAATGAATAAAAAAACAATAACCATAGCCATTGAAAAAAATGTAGCATTGGTAAAAGACCAGAGTTGGTAAATATAAATAAAATGCCACCATCTCTTACCCGTTCCGTTTTAACAGCATTCCAACATATGAATAATAAAGGAAAACTGTAGCTCTACCTGTTTGGTTGCAGAGAATTGTGATTGATCTCATGTATTGTGACAGTAGATGCTTTGTTGCTGCCAGCCTTATGTAATGAATATGACTAGAATAAACGTGCAATACAACAATCCAAAACATTTTTTGAAGTGTAATGACTCAGTGTTGAGTCGGCCTGCAAACATGGCACTGTAGCAATGTTCATTGTGGGTGCTGCATTCAATGCCAGCTGAATAGTTTGAAATGTAAAAGAAAATCTGCACCTTAAAACAAATACAGGGACATTATTACAAATAAAAAAGTCCTGGCTTTAAGACAAGTTAAATGTCTGCCGTGAATGGACTTTGCTGTTAGTTGGGTGTGGTACAATCTCTAATTTGTGGCATACAGTTTGAATATTGTTTTATTATTTGGCAGGTGCTCAAATTACAGCTCTAAAAGGCAATTAACCAATGTTCTAATGATTAGTTTAACAGCATCCACAAAATGTACTGTCTTCAATCCTCACTTCACATGAATGGCACTTTGCCAACTGCTCCACCTTTGCTGCTGTAGAGCTAGCCAGGTAATCTGTCTGAACTGCTATTTAGTTTGTACTTCATTCTACAGTGTTTGAATTTCTGCAGAGAAACATTGCTGTGATGCAAAGGTGCATTCAATATTAGTCAGTCTCTTGAGTCTTTTCATTGGAATGCCAGCCGCTCTCTTTAAATAAGTGTAATACAGTTCATTGCATTATAGTTAGATAACAAGCTTGGACACCTGTTGGCTGTCCTCATCATGTTAGGAACAACTACACATTACAAATAGCAGACTTAAAATGCATCACCTTGGACTGCACCTTGGCCCATAACAAAAAGAATAATAAAATGAGAGCGCCTTTTCTTTCACTTAATGTCTGTAAATCCAACACTTGAAGTAGATAAGCATATTTGATCAAATTCATGTATTTGCATGATTCTGCAATTTTTGGGTTGTACCCAAATGATTGATTTCACTTGATTGTAGGTCGCTTTGGTCAGAATGTAAGCCGACTTGTCCGTAAAAGCAGATTTTAAGACTTACTTTTTTTTACTAAGTAATTGTGGTAGTTGTGGTAAGCAAATACTTACTATCCATATTGCAAAAAAGTGCTGGTTGGTTCGCATTATTTACAGTTAAAAAATTAGAATATATTGAACTTGAAGCATTTTGAGTGGCCACGCAAAATCATCAAAGCGCTATGAAAATCGATGCTGGGTGCATATGCTCTCTTCTCATTAGAAACTAGTGAAACAATACTATGTATGCTCTCTGCCTCATATTTATCCTCAAGTCTTTTTATATTTTGTTTGGTGTTGAATGTAGATATCTCTGAAGCACAATAAAAAAAAAAACACTTCTGTGACGTAACGTCCTTTTCCTCATGGTAATTTGTATGTATGAGAACTTTTTTTTTAACAAGACGATTCAAGTAGTCATCATGTAGTAGTTGTATACAGGCCTGGCCACAGGTACAGGAAGTCATTTAATGTAACTGCAACAGAAACGCTTTCTCTCAACCATTTCTGTTTTTGTGAAGCTCTCTTTTTGGAATGTTAAGCTTCATTTCATCCATCGCTGACTGTTAGCCTGGCAGGCTAAGCAACCCACAGACTAGGCTCTCCGTTCCTCTCTTTACCTTCTAGGCATTGCATGTCCTACTTGTAACACTTGACACACATGGAAACAGAATGAGTGTACAACCAGAGAGGGACAGAGCCAAACCTGAAACAAGCCAAAAGACAATCATTTGGGCTGTTCCTCGCTAAAAGCTTTGGGTTTGGGTCAGGCATTGGGGGCAGAAGTGTAATGCTTTTACATGCTTGATGCCAGGGTAAAGCTGTATTGTCTATGTATGCATACCCTGTGTATTCTAATTTCTAATCTCCCCTCTGTGATTCTTGCAGGCCTTTGTGAAGGATGTTCACGAAGGAGCGGTCACGGTGGCATTTGAAAACAAGTGAGTAATGCGCTTACACAACATCAAATAATATTCTGTAAAAAGGGACATTTTTGCCAATGAATGCTGATTTGATGTACATGTCTGTCCCAGTTGGCAGCCAGAGCGCCAGATCCCGTTCCAGGATGTTCGTTTCCCTCCTCCAACAGGGCTCTGCAAGGATATCAATGAGAGCGATGAGGTCGAGGTGAGACTGATTAAATACTCTGACGACTGTTTCAGAAATGAATATGACAACATTTTGTGTTTTTATTAAGAAAGCAGAGTCAGTCTAGTTGGATTGCAAGGGAATATTTATATTGGAATAAAATGTTGCTCTGTAGGCCAAACAGACTGTTGAGGCTCATGGGAAAGTACCTGTAGTTGGAAATGAGGAGTCGATGAACTCTGATCTTTTCGTTCACAAAAAGTAGTTTATATTTTTATAACCTGTCATCATGGGTGCGTTTCACGTCGGTTAAATGGAATCCTTGCGTCCCTCACTTGCGTTGTTTCCCTGCGACTAGTCCCTCCCACCAGGGAAGCATGGAGAGAGACGCAAGGAAACCACGAGAAGCAGGGAAATGAGTTTTAAGAGCAATGGGATGTCGTTTCCTCCGGAGCGTCACGTGAAGCGACGTCAATTTGTGATGACGCCGCACAGCTGATTGTCTGACAGCAGCCAGATCAGTGCCTGCGCTGCATCGTCCAATCAGTGAGCGATACACAGTAAGGGGGCGGGGCGAGTGTATGAGGATTTCACCGGAGGATGGTCTGGTAGTTCCTCGATTATCGCTCCTCGATCCTCGGTCCTCCGGCACAAATAAGGCCACTGGGACGCTACTCAAGATGGCGCAGACAAATCAACTTCTGGTGATACCGAGACCGAGGAGCGAGGAAATGAAAAATAAGAGAAGTGAAACGCACCCCATGAGGGGAGCTATCCATCCTCTAGTAGTACATAAAAGAGAACAATTAAGAAAAAAGCAGTATTACTTTCTTGATTTTTATATTTAGAATGTTTTGCAAAGATTGAAAGAAACACAATTTATTGCTGTTTCTGTAATAATAATTGAAATATATATATATATATATATATATATATATATATATATATATATATATATATATATATATATATATATATATATATATATATATATATATAATCTCAGGGTTGAGTATTCACCTGAAAACTGATATCTAAATCTGAATATAGTTGAATGTTGCTCTTTCTCAAAAATCATAATTTGTTCACTTCATAATGCTCATACAAGTAAATCGTTAATTCTTTGACATTTAATATGTTCATACGGCCTCAAGTTGTTAGCTTCAAACAACCTTTTCAAAATGATGAATAAGACATGAGCTAGCTTCATTTGATCTTTTGATTACATTTGTGTATTTGCTATCATTGTGCCTTTCATTTTGATCATCTTTGGTTGGCAAATAAGTGGGAAAGTTTGTGAAATGTACTGTGTGTGTTTCCAGGTGTATTCCAGGGCTAATGACAAGGAGCCATGTGGATGGTGGCTGGCCAAGGTTCGCATGGTCAAAGGAGAGGTAAGGCTCAGTCTTTCTAAGACGGTTTATTTTTTTCCCATTCTGCTTTTCAAAATGTTCAAATATAGATCTGACATAATCCTTGTCTCCATATATCTCTAGTTTTACGTAATAGAGTATGCTGCATGCGACGCGACACTAAATGAGATAGTGACGCTGGAGCGGTTACGGCCAGTCAACCCGAATAAACCAGCCACCAAATCCACCTTCATCAAGATCAGACTGGATGTTCCTGAGGATCTGCGGCAGATGTAAGTTCATATAATAAATAGTAATAATTATACATTTCATTTACATAGCACACTTTAAAAACAACGTCATCTCAAGGTGCTTCTAATGCTATAAGGAGAAAATAATAAAACAAATCAAATAAAAAGATATCTAAGGAGCATATTGAATAAAATATGGTAATGTAAAAAAAGCCTTGTGCTGTGGCTTAACATTACCGTAGGTTTCTTATGGAAAACCTTTAAACATAAGCATCAAACTCTTATATTGTAAGCCTGTGCATGATTTATTCCAATACGATTTCAATCATATTCAATGTAAATACTGCTATATTTAGTTTTCAATCTATATTTTAAATGTTTTATTTTTACACCAAGTCAAACTCCTCATATGTGTTAATCTACCTGGTAATAAACCTGTTTCTGTTTCTGATTCCTAGTTAATAGCTATGATTGGGCTACCTTTGTATATTTTGAATTGACATGATATGAATAATGTGTTCTTCTCTGTGTTGACAGGTGCTCCAAGGAGTCGGCCCACAAAGACTTCATAAAGGCAGTCGGAGCGTTCGATGTCACCTACGACTCGGAGAAAAAGCAGCTGGTCATTTTGGTTCGTCAAACATTATATTTATTGAAGAACACAACATTGATACAGTCTGCCCCTCTCTGTGACTTCCAACATGATTTTGAAAATGACATGAAATCCTCTGGTTGTTCTTGCAGTCGGTGAATGAGGTCACAACAAAGCGGGCCAACATGATGAGTGACATGCACTTCAGGAGCCTCCGCACCAAACTGTCACTCATGCTGAGGAACGAAGAGGCCAACCGACAGCTGGAGGTAGAGACACACACACACACACACACACACACACACACACACACACACACACACACACACACACACACACACACACACACACACACACACACACACACACACACACACACACACACACACACACACACACACACACACACACACACACACACACACACACACACACACACACACACACACACACACACACACACACACATATAATAAGGCTCACGGATTGATGCAACTTCAAATCTTTGTGTCCTTGTATGAATGTGTATATTTGATCATTTCATAGCTACTTACTCAGCTATAGGGATATAACCGGTCATAATGTGTACGTTTGCTTACTTTGGAAGTGAGGGAAAGTTTGAGTTAAAGCCACACAGGAGAAGTCTGGCTCCACTGCTGCGCACACACCTAAAGTGATGCATACATTAAACTAACATGTTATAATTGTATAACGTAATATAGTTCCATGCATTTTATTAAATCAGGTTTCTAATTCGGTTAACACTCCTTTTAACATTTTCTGAGAAAATGATTGTACTTTGATTTGAACATCTTATATCCTTACAACCTTACTCAGTTATTTTCTTTTTGTTCATGTTTGTGTTTGACCCTCCGGTTATGTTTCCTTCAGAGTTCCAGACAGCTGGCGTCACGGTTCCACGAACAGTTTGTGGTTCGCGATGATCTCATGGGTCTGGCCATCGGGACTCACGGGGCCAACATTCAGCAGGCGCGCAAAGTCCCCGGGGTCACTAACATAGATCTGGACGAGGAGACGTGCACCTTCCACATATACGGAGAGGTAGGGTGCCTCTATGCAACATAAATACACTGACAAACTGATGGAAATGACCTTCTTAGCTAAATAATGCTAAATTGTATATCCGTTTTGAAATCTAAGTAATAAACACAAGAAATATCTGTCAAAACACCATAACCATAACCCTAACCCTAAACCTAAAATCCACGGACCCTTCCCCATTTGTACCCTTTGAGCGTCTATCCTGCTCAAAACGAGACTTCAACTAATTAATAGTCTCAATGAATGAGGACCTGTACAAAGTCAGAAAAATTGTGTTTAACTATATTTATAAAATAGCTTATTCAAGGTTTTTTGCATTGAATCACATTAATGCGTTTAATGGGTTTTTCTTTTTACTCTAAAAAATTACAAATTGTTGTTGATTTGAATATAAATGTACTGTTCTTTAAAAAATAAATTGATATTATTTTTCTTATTTAAAGGTCCCATGACTTGGCCATTTCTACTGATCATAATTCCATTGTTGAGGTCTACTAGAATAGATTTACATTGTTCAATGTTCCAAACTCTCATTGGTTTCTCATACAGCATCTCTGTATAGTATGTGTATTCACTCTCTGGGTGGGTGGGTGGCTGGATTGGTCCATTTGGTCTAGAGTGAGGTCTAACTGCCCCGGAAGGAAAAAATGGAAAAAGAGAAATCTCCAACGAGGCGTTCTGGGGCAGCATAGACAGGTATTTTCTGTGTTAGAGTTTTAATCGCTACAGGGTGTACTTTGAGGGTTTGTGACCGTTTACATGCAGAAAAAGCTACATAACACACAAGGGGACGGGTAATAACCAGAAAAGTATATGATGGGACCTTTAAAGCTTTATATCCATAATGACAATCATGTAACATAAAACACAAGTTTAACACTAAAAGCCAGCTCAAATGGCCACCAGACCAAAACGTTAATATTTATGGGTATTAGGATTTGTCAATTGTTTGCTTGTTATTTACTTTAGGACCAAGAGGCTGTCCGTCTGGCGAGGTGTTTCCTGGAGTTCTCTGAAGATGTCATCAAAGTTCCCCGGAACTTAGTAGGTGAGAAAAATCCCTGAACTGAGACAATGAGATCACTAATGCGGTAACTAGATTTCATTTAAGAAGCAGCCAGACTTTTGAACAGTCCTACCACTGTCCCTGATGATGATGATGTTTTCTTTTTACAGGGAAGGTGATTGGCAAAAACGGCAAGCTGATCCAGGAGGTGGTGGATAAGTCTGGGGTGGTTCGAGTTCGTATTGAGCCAGATAACGACAAGAAGCCCCTAGCAGCAGCGGCCGCAGCAGCAGCAGCGGCAGCTATAGACGAGGTCAGTGAGAACACACCAACACCTCTTCAATGTTAACAATTCGACCTACTATGGTTGTGATTCATTTATCTTTACTACTGATAGTATGCATCATTTGAGAATAGATCAAATTGAAAAATAAAATGTTTCTTCCTGAACCTCTCTCTTTCAGGGAATGGTGCCGTTTGTATTTGTGGGGACCAAGGAGAGCATCTCCAACGCTACAGTTCTACTGGACTATCACCTTAACTACCTTAAGGTCACTATTTGTGCTTTAACATAAGATATTATGTGACTGAATTATTTGTATGTTTGAAGAAGCCGGTTCACAACCTGTAGCTACAGCTATAAATGAAATATAATTTCGCTCTTTCTGTCAGACATTTTTTTATTTCAAGGATGTTCAGTATACATAGCGAAATTAAATATAGGCATTGCAGCAATAGATATGAAATGATGATTATATATGTATTTTCACATTTAAATAACAATAGCCTTCTGACTTTGGAACAAAAGCCACTTATCTGCTTATTAATATAGAAGTAAACTAGTGCCCCTGGTACGACTGCAGGCTATTCATCCGGTGTAAACATACTAAATACATTTTTTGTTAAACTATTGTCCACAGGAAGTAGATCAGCTTCGTCTGGAGCGTCTTCAGATCGACGAGCAGCTGAGACAGATCGGAGGTGGAGGGGGTGGAGGAGGGACGGGGCCCCGGAACCTCAAAGACAAAACCTACGTGTTCGATAACGGCATGGGGATGGGGAGAGGAGCAGGAGCAGCAGGAGGAGGAGGAGGAGGAGGAGGAGCAGGAGCAGGAGCAGGAGCAGGAGGAGGAGGGAAGCCCTACGGAGGAGGGGGAGGAAGAGGTGGCAGAGGGCGGAGAGGAGGAGGAGCGGCCTTCGCCTCAGGTACTACATGGAGTGAATTAAATTATAATTGTCTTCATTGGAAAGTACATGAGATCACCCAGCTAAAGCTATAGGTACCACATGTCAGATGTCTTCCCCAGGAGGTGACTTTATTTTAAAACAACAACTATTCGGACGGTGATTTTCCACGGTAGTTTAAATTATATCTGACTGACGTACTCCGTCCCCTCAGGCACTAACTCAGAGGCATCCAACGCTTCTGAGACGGAGTCGGACCACAAAGACGAGCTCAGTGATTGGTCGCTGGCCCCCACCGAGGAGCTGATGACAGGAGGCGGTACCCTGCCCAGGCGGACAGATGGGAGGAGGAGACCAGGCGGAGGAGGGCTGCGGGGACGAGGGGGGAGAGGAAGAGCAGGGTATAAAGGTATGCACTCATTCATAAATGATATCCTTAAGAATGAAAATGAGTTGGATAAGTAGAACCCTTTAGACTCCCTTTGCCAATGATTTCACATTTCCCCCGACACAAATCATCATGACACAAATAGATCCAACCCAAATTCAAGCTGCTACCTGCCAGCAAGCTGTTTACTGTCACCTCTGAGATGAGACTCAGGAGCTGTCTGCTCTGGTTTAGGTGACGACATGCAGTGGAGCGAGCCCAGGCCTCGTCACATCAGAGACCCCAAGACAAGAGCTCAGGAAGAGACTCTACAGGTAACACACACACACACACTCGCCAATCGGCCGGTCGATATTCAATAAAATTATGCGATTGCAAGAGTTAATGCTCTGAAGTCACCGATCCCTGATGTTGCTACATTGTGACCACAATTCAATTTTTTAATTAGCAGGAGGAGATCTAGTTACCGTTAGCACACAGGAAGCGGCATACTTCTGGCAATTGCATTTACGTTTAAGAAAGTGTATGTATCAGAAACATTTGTTTGCCATAGGCCATATTTTCAAATCATAAAAGAATTTCCGGTATTTTGTTGAAGGATCCAAGTCCAGATCAATCTAGAAAAATATAATCCCTGGAGCATTCAATAAAAGCAGCTGTCAAAGAAGCTAAAAGCCGTCATCATTTCTACTTTGGGGCTCTTAATAATAATAATATCTTTATTTATACAGCCCTTTTCCAAACAAAGTTACAAAGTGCTTTACATGGACAAGCCGTTCAGGCGGCAACAGATCATGAGGTCAACAATCCCCACCCCAGCCCGTAAAATACACAACTTCTCGACATTAGCAACAACAATCAAAATAGAAAAAGTCAAGTAGTGGCATTATATGTTAAAAGCTTTAATACAGAGATGAGTTTTAAGAAGTGATTTAAAAGATAAGAGCTTTAAAATGAATCAGTCAAATGAATTCTAAAACAGACAAGTAGCCATTGAAGAGAGCTTAAAACAGGGGTGATGTGGTCTAACCCAATTCCGATGTCCCAGTTCATTAGTGATCGTGCATTTGATCATAGTTCTGCCCTTGTAGCTGTGAAGTGTAGAGTAAGACTGTACTTACTTCCTTTCTCCTACAGATCCGCGTGGATGGTAACAACGAGCGCAGCGTGCAGCACTCCTCAGGGGGGCGAGGAGGAGGAGGAGGGCCTTCCTCCTCCCTGGTTGGCAACATGGCCGGGGGCGAGGGCCCGCCTCGACATCACCACCCGAGACCCATCAGAGACCGAGGGCTGAAGAAGGACAAACAGGACGCTCCGCCGCTGGTGAACGGAGTGTCGTAGATGCACCACTGGAGGACCTTAGCACTTAGACACACACACACACACACACACACACAGACACACACACACACACACACACACACACACACACACACAGACACACACACACACACACACACACACAGACACACACACACACAGGCAACTCGTCATACACCATTGTAGAATCTCTCTCTCGCTTTTTCTTTCTCTGTCTTTGTCATGAATACACATATCTCATCAGCATGGAGTCAGAGTTTATCGTAGTGCAGAGTATCTGCTGGTCCGCTCTGAGGTCTTTAAACGTTTTGCTCCGGTTTGTTCCTGGCTGATCTTCTCTGGACTGACAAGTAAAAGAAACAGTACTTTTTGGACATAAGGAAAAGAAGAGAAGCTCATCTCTCACGGAGGCATTAACCCCAAACGTGCACCCTTTGCTTGTTTTTTTTTTTTAAATCAACTGAATTGATTGGGTGATGAATGAATACTTTTTTACCCACTGCCCTGTTTGGACTTTCTCACACCAGAACAAAATTCATTAAGGAAGCAATTGGTGAAACAAGAAACAGAATTAGACAGCAGCTGAAATATGGGTTCCTACAATTTGAAAACATATTTTGACTGCACACTTTTTATCGTCGGGGTGATCTGGCAGCACAGTTTTAAAGGGGTGGCTTGACCTCTTTCCCACAGGTTGAGAAATCGGTTTTTTTGTGGCTCTAAATTGCAAAAAATATACTTTTAAATTCAACAGATACATTTCAAAATACAAAAATATTTTTCACTTCTATATTTGGGAAACTGAGCTTTCAGGCAGGGAGATGTTTGTAGATGGCACTTTGAATTTTTTTTTTTTTTTTTTGGATAGTCATTTGAACCCTGCACTTGAGCAGGTTAAATCTGTCTGGGATCAGCAGTAGAAAGGAGTTCAGTGTCCATATGTAAGGATGAAATGTGAGCAGGTATGCATGGGCAACACATGCTTATCTCATTGTCTGAGTCATCTATGTTTTGTTTCCTGTTGCCAAGATGATGTAAAATTCCTTCAGTTTCTTGGACCAAGCATGAATAGTAAGCATACCAATGGGGAAACATAAATCTGAGGCACTTTGATGCAACGTCACTGTAAAAAAAAAGCTTTCACAGAAGCGAACATACTAACTCCTTAGAGTCTTAAACAGGGTACACAATGTCATGCACTGCTGTTATATTTCAAAAATAATATGGGACAAGGAAATGTGACTGGGCCAACAGTGACTGGGAATCTGCAAAAAAGACATAAGCAATTGTCAGAAATGTACTATACCAAATAACATTTTTAAGTAGTCTGCATGAAGACCAACACATGTGTTTATTTCCCAATACAAGTAAGTGACACCAGAAAGCTCACAGTGAAACTAGGAACCTTGATCAACCATCCAAATATGTAATATTAAAAATATAAACAGACGAATATTTTTGAGATTCAATGAGCTGTTGAGATGATGCTGCTCTAAAGGCGCCAGAGAAAAACAAAAATATACCACGGAGTCCCGGACTGATGGATGTTCTATGTGATTGGAATTGGCATTAAAGAATCAAACAAATAACTACACAGAGTAGCTTCTGCAAATCTCAACACTGATGAAAGGATTCTAAATTCAGCATACATAAACAGGTCAAACCTGTACAATCACAATCGTTAAGAAACAGTGACTCATGACTAATGCCTTAACAATGGTCATGAATAATGCTTTGTGGTACAACGAATCCAACAGTCCTGATGCATTCATGGCTCGACTGATCCTAGTTGTTCCCAGCAGCTCTTGACTCCAGCTTTTTGAATGCTTCTCATTTGGAGCGAGGCGTTGCTTCGCCTCCGGTATTGCGTCTTTCTCGAGAACAGTTAATCCAAACAACTTCTCAACACTTAGCTTTCAGTTATTCTGACCCCACATAAAAAAGGCGAAGATACACACTTTCTCGCCATGTTTACAAAAGTGGAACATGTTAATATCCGCTTCCTTGATTTGGATCCACTCTTAATCTCATGGGTTACTTCTTGACCCATGCTACACATTTACATCTCTTACAACCCTTAAATGTCATGTAAATCTGGCCTGTAGGTTTTTTTGTAACCCGGCTGACAAACAAACTGAGACGGAAACGTCTTGGCGTCAGCAATAAAATAAACTCACACTTCACACGGCACCTCCTTGGCTAGTCAGAAATACGCTGGCCAAGTGGGAAGCCAATCAGATTAAAGGTTTTGGAGACAAATTGAAGGACTAAAAAAAGACTCCTTAAGTACTCATAATCTCATACAAGACTGACGAGTGAGATACTTCACAGGGAGGGCTAATGCTAAACTTGATGTCGTTCCACAAACTTACTTTTAACTCTTGCTTTCAGACAAACCTGATCAGGTTGCAGGACTAAGGCGGCAACATTGTGAATGTAGAGCTCCTGTCACCTGATCACACAAGCTTTTCTTTAATTTATGAAACCTTTGTATTTAACCTTCTTGTTTTGCAGTTAGAAAAAACCTGTTTGAAGTATTACTGTAGAAGAAACAACGGTTCATTGAGTTATTCCTTGACAAAATAAAAATTTGGTGTAAGTTTTATTCTTTCTGGCCCGCCCCTTACTTTCTGTATTAATCCTTTTACATGTTATTTCCTCTCTGCACCTTTATGTAAATAGTAGGGCAGAGAAGAGAGTCTTGATTGAAACCTTAAAACAACATACAGAACACATTTCGAATTAGGGTGGATGCATTTTCTTATACATGATTTGCGTTGACTTCTTGCTTTTAAATGCAGGACTGTGCGTGCAACCTGACTGGAGTTAAATGAAAGTAAAGGCTAATGAAGCCAGGTGTAGTGAAGCAAGATTTCTCATCCACAAAACAAGTTTACATACCTGGATTTAGAGCAACGTTTCCCCCACAGTCCTGAAGCTGCCGTCTGTCAGTTTTCTGCCCCTCCTCTAGGTTCCTTCTTAATCTTAGTGCCTTGGATTTATACTCCTCTATTTATGTACATTTGACCCTTTCTAAAAAATCACCTGACTTTTCTGAATAGATCAAAGATCTTCTACTGTCTGTTTTAACTCGGTGTAACACGCCTTCTGTTTGTTTTTTAGGAAAAACAATAGCTGAAAGTGAATTTTTTTTAACGGTGCAGGTGTTCAGACATCAAAGAAACATAACACAAAACGGTGTGTTGACTAAGCTCTTTAGTTGAAGTGTCCGCACCTGCTGTTCGGTTTACACCTCAGAGTTCAGACTTCAGAAGTCTTCTGCACGGAAACACTCATCATCTCCATCGAAATAAATAGAAAACAATGTAGGTGGCGTGAAGGCCTTTAAAGATCAAATGTCCAAAACTGTATCCTACATTTAAAATGACTGCAATAACTTAGATGGGCGAGTGTCTGTGGGTTTATGATGAGAAATTGATAGTAGCATTAGCTTGAATTTTAAATTCAAACTGTTAGAATGTGAGAAAGTCACTGACAAACGAAAAAGCAAAGCAAAAAAAATTATCTAAATGTCTTGTGCATTTGTAGGCATCATTATTTCATGAAACATACTGTTATGCATCTCCTCACTATACCTTATAGCCAGCACTATATTACAAGTACATCAACTGTGATATTTAGCTTTGGTGTTGTGAATGTTGAGGATGTTTGAATTTAGCTTTACTTTTTGTGGTGCTCTTACATATTTAATTTACATTTAGAAAATGAGCTAATTTCCTTTTTTGCTCAAATTTAGATGGGAAGACCTGTCTTGCATCATAAGAAGCCAGAAAGCGATTAGCTTAGCTCAGCTAAAGACTGGAAACAGGGAAATGGCTAGCCTGATGGTCCAAAATACAGCTCCCTGCACTTGTAAATCACACTTAAAGGTCCCATGTCATGCTTTTCTGGTTATTACCCGTCCCCTTGTGTTATGAAGCCTTTTCTGCATGTAAACGGTCTGCGAGTCACAAACCCTCAAAGTAAACCCTGTAGCGAGTAAAACTCTTAACACAGAAAAGACCAGTCTATGCTGCCCCAGAACGCCTCGTTGGAGATTTTTATTTTTCCATTTTTTTTCTTCCTGGGTCGTAGTGACGTAACGGCTACGCTCCGCGGACTTCCTCACACACACACACACTCACTCAGCCTTATCTTTTCTCTGCCGCAGCTCGGCGTATTTCTCAGCCTGAACTCAGCGAGACACAGCAAAACTCTGCCTGAACTCAGCCTGAGCACACACACAAACTCACAGCCAGGCTACGAGTGTGTGTGTGTGTGTGCTCAGGCTGTGCTCAGGCTGAGTTTCGCGTTGTCTCGCTGTCTCGCAGACCCCACGCAGCAACCAGGAAACCACACCAGTAATCCAGCTCACACTGTCCGCTCCAGCAGCGAGCCCCGCAACGTCCCGCCAACACGGCACCCAGACCCCACGCAGCATTCTCATCTGTTTGTCATTTTCTGGTTGCTAACGCCATTGTAACACATAATCACTGATGTTCAGCTGTAACGGTGGTGATCTCATCAGAGCACACTGGGCTCACAGGGAGGGAGGGGGGGGGGCAGGAGCTCCAACAAGCCGTTTAGGACAGAGAGTGAATACACATACTATACAGAGATGCTGTATGAGAAACCAATTTGATTTTGGAACAATGTAAATCTATTCTAGTATACCTCAACAATGGAATTATGATCAGTAGAAATGGCCATGTCATGGGACCTTTAATACCATGTCATACTTTTAACCTGTAAATTCAAAGGTAATTTGTGTTTTTATAGCAAGTGACTTTTCAGCTAGCTGTTTTCCTCAGATTACAACATTTATGCTAGGTTTATATGACAGCTAACTGGCTAATAATTCCAGCATAATTATTTACAGATGGACAAGAGAGTGGTATCAATCTTTTTCATTAAACTTTTGGCAAAACATTCATTCAACGTAATTCCCAAAATGTTAAATAATTTCTCTAAACAATAGCGATTAGGAGCGTCTTCAGTGTGCATAGCAGCACATTACTAACAATAGCTTAGATCAACTTCCAACAAGGCAAACATAAAAGAGCCATTGTGCCCCATCTCCAACAGATTTATTGAATTATCATTTGGGGAAACGGTTGACTCTCCTAGCTAGAAAGCTGCAATTGCTCAGAGAAACCTCACCATATTTAGTGTGACATGTGCCTTTAATTGTGGATAGTATAAAAACCTAGACATGTAAATCAGGGATGATGGGACGTTGATAACCAGATGGAAAGATGGCTACTTCCTGCCATGACATTACTTCACCCTTCAGTCGTCTCTGAGTATTTCTGGGCTTCCTCTAAAGTATGGGTCCAGGAAAACGGCTTGCTTTTACCACCCAATCATTTTGAAACACTGAAGATGTTGTATCTTTGTACAGACAACGAACATGAGCCTGTAGTTTAGGACCTGGATCAACTGATCAGTGAAATGGATGCCGTTACTTTTGTAGAGCTGTGCAGTCATAACCTTGAGTTGCTACTTTGCATTCTTTAGTTCTGTTCCAAAGTCTAAGACGGTTATTTCTTGGATTCAAAGTGGTGTAACCCCGTTGTAACTTTATTCCCTATCTCTTTAAGTAACTGAAGAAATGAAAGGAACTAAGAAGATTTCAGAGTTTGAGTCTGGTCTCATTTTCTACCAGAGATCAGTGTACCTTTCTAGTCTTGCAATGCATGTACAACTTAATTATTTTTGTATACTTTTATTAGGTTCGGACATGTGTAAAAAGAACGTTTTTGTTTTCGTCTCAGTTCTCCTTGACCTGAGTTCAACTGAAGTAGCTGGTGATGAGTTCTTACAACCATCCCCAAGTTAACGACAAATTAGGAACTTTAACCTTTTGGATAATGTCTAAGGAAACGGTAATAACATGGGTAATGACAAATCAAACTGGCTTTTCTTTATAGAACTTCATCTTTCTTTCAAAGTATTATCGGTGTCAATCTCTCTCTCAATAATCTGTTTGCTTTCACTTGCTGTTCACACTGCAGCCATGTTGCATTTGTATCCAGTGAGTGTTCACTGGAGTGCGTTGACACATGGCTCACGTGAAATTAATCTCTGTATTGTCAATAGAGCATCAACTGTAAGGAGTTGCTTTGTATTGTAAGAAAATAAGGTGACATACTGTATATAATGATGTCATTATTTGTCTGAGAAAAGATTTGTACTTTTGTTTCAAATGTGAACTTATCCTGATATTTTCTTTTTTTCTGTTTAATATCAGTCAAATGCTAGAGCTCTTGATAATAAACTTAATGATGTGTGAAAAAATAGCCGGGTTGAGTCACACCAAGCTGTCATTCATAATTTGATTGATTGGAGGAAGACTGAAATGGAAAATTACCGTATAGCAAAACATAAAACTGGATCCATTGTTTGCATTAAAGCTTTAAGTGATACTCGCAGGTTAGATTTAGGTTTGAGCTCATCCTACACTTAAGAAGATATGATCATTTTAAACTTACAGCAGAACATTTCAATCGACATTAAGATACTTATTTTCCCTACTGATTGATGAAAATAGCATCTTTAATAGACCAATTTGTTAGATTTTCTTATGATAAAAATAGTTTAGGTGGACGAGTGTGAGCGTACAGTGATTTTGACCCTAGACCCCCAAAAAACTAAACTCACAGTGGGTTGCTTCCAGATGATAATCTATCATTTTGGGACTTTAAAACTCTTGCGAGGCCCGCTGTGCGTCGTCCTGTCCTAAAATGTACCACTCAATGCCTTATCTTAATCATTTGCGAGAGTTTATGAAAATAATTTGCAAATCAAGAGTTACCATCTAGATCTGACGAGTCCAATAATGATAGTTATGGTTTAAAGGAATAGCTAGCCTGGCTCTCCACATTTCTGAAATACTCCTACAATTACTAAAGTCCACGTCATGTATCATTTGTTTATTTCGAACACAAACTGAAATTTAAAATGTGTGTGTAGTTTCAGCACGCAAACAACGCAACTTGTTGATTGCGTACATATTTCACAAATGAGAAAGTTGTATACATTTTGTCATCTAACTCTGTACTTTCCAAAATGTAACCATTTTTTGTAAAGAAATCACATCTGCTCTACCTAATAGCATGTTTCACACATCAGTTTCGTGAAAAGATTGCCTTCTACAGTAACTCAAGTATTCTAGGTTAATAATGTTTGATTTATTTTGATGGGATAGAAGAGTCTTGTATTTTAGTCATTCCCTGCTCTTGTCATCTCCGATGTAAAAAGACCCAGCTTATTTTTCATTTTGAATTCATTTCTTTGCTTATGTTGCTGAGCTTCATCCTGCTCGTTGGTGTATTTTATTGTTCCTCAATACACTAGGTACAATTACACTTTTTAACTATCGGAATTAAACTAACAAAAGCAGTTTAATGGTTTTTCTTCAGTGCTTTGGATTGATCTTAGGTGGGTTACTAACAAGGTGTAATGGGGCTTGTAGTGGACAATGTAGATTTAATAAGGCAGGTCTGCATGCTGACCAGTGAGAGTCATTGAAGGTATGGTGCTAGTTAAGGATTTATACAATAGGGATTTTATTTACAGAAAGTCTCCATTTGAATCCTGCTGTTT